CTCTGGCCCAAATATGCTAGAGTATAAAGACCATTTGAAGAATTCATCTCATCAATGTCGCTGTCACTCAGCAACTCTACTACTCTTTTGGGCAACCAACATTTCAGACTAGCCTCAGTTTCTTCATCGTACAATATTACAGAACCGCTCCTACCAAACCTGGTTCCACATAGTGATATTTTCTTGACCACATAGCTTTTATTCAAGAGTAGTGATGAGATAACAGTTTGCTTGATAATATCATTGTCTTCGTTAATTCGATTATTTATCGTTAACAAATCAATTTTAGGAGCTGCCATTATAAATTCTTCTTTGTTGAGTGAAAAGAGGTGTAAAAAGTATATAAATAATTTTTACTTACATATAACAGTTCACGTACACTTTTATTGCAAACACTTTATATTCCCAATCAATTTGAGCGGGTATATTTTTTATGCGCGAGTTGGTGGTGCGTATCTTCCGTATTATTAGGAGAACTATGCTCTCGCAGACGATACAATGATGTATTTATAGGAACTGGGATATGTGACGTAACACAGCACCCCACTTCTACCAAAACGACCTCGACCAGCCTACTCCCATTTTCAAGGTCGCACATGCTTTCACCTCCCTCTCCAAGGTCGAGGTCTCTCTCTCTCTCTCTACAACTCAAGGTCACTCGTTCCCAAGGTCACATATGCGAAGGTTACTCGTACAACCTTCCTTCAAGGTCTTTTTGTCTCGCCCTCAAGGTCACCTCCGCGTTCAAGGGCGTGCTGTCGACACTTCACTATACGAGGTTACTCCTGCCCAAGGTCAGACCCGTTCAAGGTCACTCCCGCCCAAGGTCACTCCCGCCCAAGGTCACTCCGCCCAAGGTCGGAGGACGGTGACCTAGGGCGGAGAGCCAGAACCGGCCAATCTTCACTACTACTATGATAATACTTCTGCCGACAAGGGTGAAGATATATGTGATCTATTCGCCACTTATTTTCGCAGCGTATATGAGCCCTATCAGCAAATTTATAATTCTTCCGAACAATTCAGCAATAACAATCTTATAAATTCAATAAAATTCACTCCAGAAACTGTATTCGATAAAATGAGCTTACTAGACGAGAATAAGGGAGCTGGAATCGACGGCTACCTATCTTATTTCGTTAAAAAATGTGCAACTAGCTTATGTTTACCTTTATGCATTATATTTAACACATCCATGCAGTCTGGTACTTTTCCACATGTTTGGAAAACTGCTTTGTTAGTTCCAATTCACAAAAATTCTGGAAGTAGAAACTCAGTGAATAATTATCGTGGCATAAGCAAATTATCTATTTTCAGCAAACTGATTGAAAGTATTATCTATGACAGTCTATTTCATTGTCTCAAGTCTTCAATTTCAGAACACCAACACGGTTTTTTCTCCAAGCGTGCAATTGAAACAAACTTGATAACTTATTCAGAATACATCTCGAATGCACTAGACAATCGAGCACAGGTGGACTCGTTGTACACTGATTTCAGTAAGGCTTTTGATAAGGTTGATCATAACATCCTTATCTCGAAGCTTGCTGGAATCGGTGTGCAGGGAGACCTCTTGAGATGGTTATCATCCTATTTACACAATCGAAGCCAACTCGTGAATCTCAATGGATATAGGTCAGCACCGTTTGTGGTCACTTCAGGAGTTCCACAGGGTTCACACCTTGGCCCATTGTTGTTCTCGGTCTTCATTAACGATTTGATAGGGTGCTTTGAACAATCCAATATACTTTTATATGCGGATGACTTGAAAATTTTTGGAAAAGTAACCTCTGTTAAGGATTGTACGAAGATTCAAGAAGATCTATCAAAATTTTCAATTTATTGCAATCGCAACAGATTGAAACTAAATGTTGAAAAATGTGCTTGTATATCATTCAGCAAAAGCAGTACGCCGATTGAATTTCAATACTCCATAAATGATATTGTAATAAATAGAGTAGATCAAATCAAAGATCTTGGAGCATATTTTGATTCTAAAATGAGCTTTAATCCACATCTAGACTATGTAATCAACACCTGCAGTAAAACCTTAGGTTTCTTTTGCAGAATGTGTAGGGACTTCAACAAAGAGGTGGCAATAAAATCAGTTTACTACTCATTTGTTTTCAGCAAATTGAATTTTGCTAGTGTCATATGGAACCCCTATTATAACATTCATAAAGTACGTTTAGAAAGGCTTCAGAATAGATTTGTGAGATTCCTTCATTTTAAAATGACTAATATTTATGTAATAACAGGTATTAGTGAAATTCGCACCCACTATAAGATACAACTTCTCGAACAGCGAAGAATTATCAATGATTTACTCATCCTATTCAAAATATTAACAAACTGTTATGACTCACCGAAATTAGTGTCGATGATTTCCTACCATGTTCCTCAGAGGTATACCAGAAATAGACAATTATTAGCGTGCTCCAATTATAATACAAATTTAGGTAAAAATTCTCCAATGACCAGAATGTGTGATTTATTCAACAAATATTGCAATGATGTAAACATTTTTTCCATATCTTTATATTCCTTTAAAAGAATTACAAAAAATATTTTTATTTCCTAATATCACGATGATGAGTAATTAGTATTCATTAATGAAAATGCTTATTATTCTACCCGTATCGTATATATGATTGTCATTTTCATACCTCCTATGTAATTAGGTGTATTTTTGTATTTTTGTATTTGTTTAGACATGAATGTTAGCTCTGTAACGGATTGTATTAGTGGATGCTTGTATGGGTAACAACCTGTTAGTATCCCAAATTTCGAATAAATAAATAAATAAATCATCAGTGAAATATCACTATTTCTGTCATTCTTATCATTATAAATTATTTTTATTATTATTATTATTTCTATTATCATTATTACTATCATTGTTATCGTTATTATAATCATATTATATTCACACGCTGTATATTGGTATTGGAGCAGTTTCCTGGCCAGAAATCGTTACTGACTCATATGTTCTTAGGTAATAACTTGTGATAGAGATAGGATGAATAATGTGAGGTAGTTCTGACTGATTCGTGCTATCAAACGGTTGTCGAATAAAGTGATTGAAGTAGTTGTGCATGTTCTTCCAAATAATAGAGTGGAATACTCCTCAGTCGTAACAGAATGTTTTCACGAAACACATTGCCTTGTATTCAATAAATAAAATTAATGCGCAAGTCATGGTCCACCGCGTAACTCGGCAATATTTATTTTTCCTACCCACGGTGTGGTCGAAAGATTTCTTCATGATAACGCCACGTAATGCACCTCCAAACTTTAGAAGGATACCTTCGAAGCGCTTGAGGGCCACCTCGTATACATTCCAGTCCGTCATGCCTCAGCGGCTCGGTCAGAACGTTGTATGCGGGAAATTGAGCGACTTTTCCGCACCTACTGCCACGACCGCCCCTCCAAGTGGGCTATGGATATTAACAAATTCGCGGACATTTTGATTTCAGTTGTCCACGAGTCTGCTGGATTCCCATCAAACGATTTACAATTCGGAACACACCGAATTTGACTTTTGCCTGCGGAATATCGTGCTTCTAGGGGGGGGGGACGACGGAATTTCACATGCCGAAAAGCTCATTTTGACCGAAGCCACTTTCCGTTCTACGGCTGAGCGTCAGGCCATATCGCATCCTAGGCGGTCGTACCAACGCTTCCAGCTCGGAGATTTAGTTTTACTCAAAGCGAACAATATCTTGTCTGCGCTCTACGCCGAGACCCAAAAAATGTTGTTATTGTTTAAGGGGCCTTATCGGGTCAAACAAATATCAAGTAGCGATGTTTACTCCTCGTCACATATGGAAGTAGATTGCGAGCGTGGAATGTTTCATGCTAGCCATATGAAAAGGTATTACTTACCGCGATGAATTTCCGAAACCTTTTCGTAATTCATGTTAGAGGGGGGGCAAAGATGATCACTTCTCGTTTACCCTCGTATCTTGGAGTCCCCGCGTGTAGGACTGTTTTTGTGGTCGAAGCGCTGATCGCCAGCATGCCCAAGGCTGTTGTTCATTCCTAACACCTAGTATACTTTCAACTTTGTGCCGATTGGATTCATAATAATTGTGTGAAAGGAATTTTTCCTGGTGGTATACCACACCGCGTACAAATAAATGTTCCACGGGTCGCCTAAGTGGTTCCAGAATTCCCTATATGGAAGAGACTATGATTAAAGGTATTTCGCGCACCTCGTCTTCATCACAAAAAAGTGGGGCACAAAGTAGTTTTTCAAGTTCTCGAAGTTTTGAAACGCAAAAATTATTCGCTATCAGTGAACCTCCATCATTGTGTGGTCCTTTAACTATTCATTTCGGATCCATATAGTGAGTACTTCTGGTCAGAAAGTGAGGCTCTCAATCTGTTTGAAATAACGATTTCCAGAATAACAACTCCTACCTTTCCAAGACTATGGAAGCTGTCGGAGCCGTTATCACCATCGGGGATTAGTTGGAAGGTTACAATGTATGTTCAGCTATCACTAACACTCACTTCCAGAGAATGCAAGATGAAATAAAAAAAAATAGTGAAATATTTTGTTATACCCTATGTGCAAGTCCTCACTTCATATTCATTACCATTCGCAATTCTGAATTTATTCCATAATATTACGCGGTGAAGTCTGAAAATTCCACAAAACATCATAGATACCTATGAAACCTTTGGTTATCAATGCTCTCAATATTATTTTTATTCATCTCAATCAAATGAAAGATCTGTCCTCACTTGTTATCAATGTCATTCTCGAAAAAATCCAAATGGTATCGATCTCGAAAAACGTATGGAATTGTTCATTGGTTGTCAAGAGTTCTGCAGTACTGTGACGAATGAATACATAAATATTGCAATTCCAATGAAGAAGTGCCTTCCTAATACTGCAAATGATATTTGGGTTTGTCAGTATAAGACGTAGCAATGAAAGTAGGCACTGGAATAGATATCATGATATACTTGGAGAATTCATCAGAATAATCATATGGAAGGAATAGTATGATGTTGTCAATCATTTTTTGATATAATTATCATGAGCAATTCGCGTTCTGATGATAATTCTCTCATCCATCTGGTTGGATTCCTCTTCGACGTTTCCTTCTGCTGATTTGTTCCACCATTGTTCATCTCCAGAAGCAAAGATCACGTAGAATACATTCGATGCAGAATAGACACATGCTGCGATGATGAATATTATTCTCCATTGGGATCTGCTTGTCTGGAAAAACAAAAATTTGTATTCCAACAGCGCAAAGTAAGCGTTTATGGCTTACGTCGTGAATAATGGTCTGAGAACGTCAGCTGAGAACCATTGAACGGTGAAAGCCATATGCGAAATAATTAACGCATGCGATACATTGAAAATTCATTGCCAAAGTGATCAATAGCGATAGTCAGGATTGAATGATACACACTCGAATTCTAGTAGGATACATTCCGAACATTATGTTTGAATTCACAGGATCACGGGTGAAGTAGTATAGATATGTGTGATTCACGTATGTGCATTTATAGTAATAATCATAGTACAATATATGATATTGCAATCATTATATTGGAATATTGCCTCTGAATACCAGATGTCTCTATCAGAATCTGATCTCAAGGCATGTGAGAGGGGTATAGAAAAGTAATTTTCCCCATAAGTAGTTAAACTATGACAGCCTGACTATAGGAATAGGACAAACCATGTGTTAAAGCGTACTTTTCTTCTCTTGGAGCTCGCAAATGGCAACCCTTATGATGTTTGAAGCTGTGATTCAATTGGTTGTCTCGTTTTCCTTGGGGATATGAGGCTTCTCTATGAAGATGTAATTCCAACAGATACGTCTGACCGAAACATGTTTATTATGTTTTGATAAGGTGTGGTCGACTCACTTATATATATATATTCATATATATAATATATATTTTTTTTTCGTATACAATCGCTGAGGAGAACTGGATCATTCTCATGATGAATACAAAATTTTTTGTGATTTGATTTCAACTCATATCATGAAGGAAGTCGGCCCTATCATATCATCATATGAGGTTTCATAATTGAAAGTTGTTTCTACAGGTTCGTCTAGCTGTGGAACCTAAATATGATAATTATGTTTTCATTAAGTGTTCTCGACTGACTTTGTGTAATGTTTTTATGAATTCACATTATAATGATAACCCACACATATTTCCCCAGCATTTCCTACTTATGTAAATTCTACGACAGGCTTATATAGCTGATTCAATCCTCATTAGTTATTATTTTAGAATCAAGCAATTACTTTCATGATTATGTATTAATGTATAACTTCAGTATAAAGAGTTTATAAGCTCCTAGCTTCTACTCTTGTTAGTTTATGAATAAATAAATGAATAAATAAATACAGAATTCGAGATTCGATTTTTTTTCACTCTTCAGGTATATACCTCTTGCCATGGAATAAGTAATCTCTGCATGCTGTGTGAAATTCCTTATCAACGAATTTATTGAAAGATAATAACTGAGAGACACTGTCCATAGCCAAGCAGTCAGATTATTCTTGCAAAACCGTCTGAAATCACTAGGAGATGTTTAGTGTAGAACTTCATATCTGAGTTTGAAATATTTTCGCTAGTATTTTCTATGGTTCTCTCACCTTTTTACTCCATATTATCAAAGAATGGTCAATTATTGTTCAGCAGTACATTCTTCATAATCAATTAGATTTATTCAACGTTCGCAGAAAATTATTCGTACTGATTGCTGAATGATCTGGAATCGCACAGGATATTTCAGACTTCTGAATGTAGTTCGAAGAATCGAACATAATCAATTCGAGTTGAGTATTCACGATGATGTGTTGTTTATACGATTGAAAAATGCGGAGGATCTTTGCTAATATGGTAGTCTAGTTCAATATTTTTGAAACTTATTGATAATCAATTCCAAATCCAGCTCTCATTCTTGATCTTGCTGTACTCTCGTGATGAGCCACGGTTGAACAATTCCATAACATCTATAGAAATACATTACTTGACTCGGAATCTCATGCTTCCTGCGGAAGAAATTTTACATGTGATGTATCAAATGCACAATTCGATCTGTTCGATGAAAATAATATCAAACCATAGTATCATCTCATATCAAAATCACAGTGTGATCGAACGCGAATGGAAAAATATGGACCTGAAGAAAATATAAATTGTTTGATTGACTGAAGATTGAAATACTGACATTTTCTTCAGCCACCTATTGAAACAATGTCACGTGGGGATATTGATGGAATTCTACCCGTCGAATACAGAATTTGAACTATTACGATGAGTCTTATCTTTGAACATTATAGGGATTCCCTCTCGTGCGCTACAAGCGATAAAAAAAAAAAAAAAAAAAAAAAAAAAAATATCACAGTGTGAAAAAAGATCCAACGCGAATGTTAAAGTATGGAACTGGGAAGCGTAATTTTTTTTCGTTTCAGGATTGATTCTTCTCATCGACTGGTAATTGTCACGTGTAGATTTTCTTCAGCCACCTATTTCAACGAACTTACGTGGGAAAGTTGACCCAATTCAAGATACATTGATCTCCGTGAGATGCTACAACACTGGTCAACCATAATCAATGATGTGAGAACCAAATAGTCAATTTGAAAAACAAGAATCGCAACTACACCAATGCTCACGAATCATCCAGAAGATTATGTACAAGTAATCCTACGATCTATTTTTGGCAATAAAAATCCATAATGAATATTTTTTTTCCGAGGACAGCAAATATTCCATTGGGTTTCAAAACCAGAATTCTAAAATACTTTTCGATTTATGACAGAGGTGTGTGAGGGGTGGAAACAAAAATCACATTATATTCAGTATCAATCATGAATATTGTCAATTTCTCTTAAGCGATTTCATGCAAACAATACACGAAGTAAGTCGACCACACTTTATCGAAATGTCATAGATATGTTTCGGCCAGACGTACCTAGGGAGATCACATTCTTATATAGTAGCCCCATATCCTGGAGCAAAGTGAGGCAGCCAATTGAATCACAGCTCCGAACATCATGAGGTTTTTTTTCGTGCGCTCCAAGAGATGAATAATACGCTTGGAATATTAGAAAATCTCCAAGTCTCTGGAAAATGCCTGGATGATTCATTCAAAACATACTGAAAATTCATTGTAGGCATATCAAATCATAGGGGCATTATGAATCATCAAGAGGAGAGGTTCTAGCCTGATAAGAGTATCTAGAAAATACCAAGAACACTCATAGATCAATAAACCTGGGGAAGTTTCATAAAAATTGTAGGTAAGTAGACACCAACTCATTGAAATATAGGAGGATTCATGAACCATATGAGAAAAATAGAAGAAGCCGATAAGTGCATTCTGGAAAAAATATGCCTAGCTATAACACTTATCCAAATTATCGAGAATTAATGATCATACGAACACACCTGATATCACATACCCAGGAGAGTTCCATGACCAGAAAATTTCAGGAGAATTCATGGAAAATGAGAATCACAAGAAATGCATGAAGGTGCGTCATATACAAAACGGAGAGTGCAAAATCATGACTTAACTCATGCGGATGCAAGAAGCAACATACTGAAAAAAATAATCCAATCTCTACTATCATTCAATCACTACCAATACCAGTTAGACGACCTCGACAAGTCAGGATATCCTTCCGTTGCCAACCTAAGAATATGTCGAACGGCAATTTATCAGAATTTGTTTTTCTGTAGAACGGTCCCAGATAGCACACACTCGCCTAAGGTCATCCTTAATATGTCGCCAAACGCCTGGAGAGGACGTTCTATTTTCTACAACCTAAGAACATCATCAGGCGTAAATTTAGCGCTGTAATTGTCCTAAATGAGTTCTTTCAGTGACAGCCTGAGGATGTAAAGAATTTCGTGCCTACGGACGTCTTCAGATGACACTTTTAAACACACACATTCCATGAAATAACGTGTCATCGAAGACACAAGGAAGAAAAAGAAGAAGTAGAATTGAGGTTATGTCTCATGATAGTCATGATTTGTTCAAGATACATCATAATATTAATGATTATATCAAAATTATTAGAGTATTCATTGAATACCTCCATCATGCATTCATCAAATTTCTATTTCACAAAATGATTGCGAGAAGCACCTTATTGCACAGAATTAAAAGATAACAATAACAAAAGGATGATAACCTCTGTTGATGACATTTCTCTCAGGTAGCAAGAAACAAAGGTGAGTAAAAACTAAATAGAATCATGATACTGTTTACATTATTTATTGTTTCAGGAGGTTATTGAGAACACAAACTTGATGATATCATCATAGCAAACATGTTTTATTCCAAGATATCTTTGCTTCTTGAGAATCTATAAAATATTGTATGGAAGCTTGAACATTCAGTATGCATTCAATAAAAGTAGGTACCTGAATCAAATCATTGATATTGTAGGTCCTGGACATGAAATGTTAATAGGTTAATTATTTGTTTCTGATGAAGTTATTGAGAACACAAGATTGATGATGTCATCAGGGCAAAGATGTTTCATTCCAAGATATTTTGGCTTGTGGAAATCTATGTGAGATTGTATGCATGTTTGCACTTTCAGTATATATATTCAATAAAGGTATAGTTACCTAAATCAAATCATTGATATAGTAGGTACTGGAATATGAAATATTAATAGGTACATTATTTGTTTCAGGAGGTTATTGATAACACAACATGATGATATCATCAGAGCAGAGATATTTTATTCCAAGATATTATGGCTTCTTCGGAAATTATAAAAGATTGTACATAATGCAGACTTGAACTTTCAGTAGATCCAATAATGGTTGGTACCTTACTACATGAATCATATCATTGATTGTAAGTACTGGACATGAAATATTAATACATTGTTTGTTTCAGATAGTTTTGCTTCTTCAGAATCTATAAAATATTGCATGAAGGCTTCAACTTCCAGTTGATTCTGCATCAGGAATGTCCAGAGTTCAGAAATCAAAAACAACATGGAGAAATATAACTACCAATAGGCAATAACTTCTAGTAGTGCTCAACAAGAAGCTGAAATACATTTCTTCAAAAAGGAAATTGAAATTTTTCAGAATAAGTTATAAATAATAGAATGTAAGTTTTTCATTTGGTTTTTCATTTGAAACTATCATAAATAGAGGAAAATTTTGCAAATATCATGAGATCCATATTATTTCGAAGAAATTATCATTTGCATAATACAAGGTGAGTCAATAGTGTGTTATCCTCGTATATTAGCCAAACCATCAGATAAATAGAGAAAATTCAAGTACAACAGTAATAGGGTTTCATGAGAACTTTCACATTAAATTGTTTCCATATCTGTATAGGGTGTTTGAATTCCAAGATATATTGACTGATGATTGTTTTTTTTTTTCAAATGGGTCACCCTGTATACTATTGCAATTTTAGGTTCTCCCTGAAGAGTTGATTCCATCAATGTATCAAACTTGGGGTCTAGCGGGAATGATTACAGAGATATAGGGTGTTCAAAAACAAGATTTTCCAATTTTAGGATTTTTTTTGTGGAAACTATTCAATATTGGTCAAAACGGCTCACATTTCCTCATGAACTTTAGATTTACTATCTAATGACATTCAATCGGGACAAATAGAGGGTGGTTCAACATTCAGAATACTGATCAGCTCATTGTATCTGTTCCAAATAAATATATGTAGATAGCTAATCAAAAGTTAAGACAGGGTTATGGGAGCCGTTTTGACCATTAATGAATAGTTTCGACACAAAAAATCCTACATCTGAAGAATCTCGATTGTCAACACCCTATATCTCTGTAATAATTCCCACTAAACACCAATAGTGTGATGCATTGATGAAATCATTTCTTCAGGGAAAACTCAAAAATGTAATAATATACAAGGTGTTTCATTGAAAAGAATCAATCATCAACCGATATCTTGGAATTCGAACACCCTATAGATATGAAAACAACTTCAGGTAATTGTGCTTATGAAACCCTATTACTGTTGTACTTCAATTTTCATTTTATATATCTGACGGTTTGGCTAATATCGGAGGAGAACACACTAGTGACTCATTCTGTATACGAATAATATTCTCCCATGAATCTTGAACCTCCTTGAAACATCATCAGAAACCGCCTCAAGTTGTTACTATGATGTCCTGAGGTTGTCTCAAAAAATTTTATAGGGATGTTCTGAGACGTTATTAGTATGTAGAGAATGGTAACAGGAGGACGTCTTAAGAATATCCTCTGGCTCGCTCTCGACGTCCTGAGGACATTATTGTGAACGCCTCAGAAGGGCCTCAAAAGGAATTTGTGCTATCTGGGGTGAAGCTTTGGAATCCATTTCCTTTGAAACTTTTCGCAAGAACCGAGGATTTTCACGTATTCAAGAAACAAATTCCAACACTCATCACCTCTCCCTATTTTCTCACAGTGTTCCTGAAAAAATTTGAGTAATTTCCTTACGTGCACCCTATCTGATGAAAAAATCATCAGAAACCGAATCATCGACGATCAATTTTCTAGATTACCTACCTAATTGTGTTTGAATCGACTGGGTTCCATACAAAAGCATGGAGCACAAGGTATATAAGCAATTGCCTTCGGGTACTGGCAAAAAAAATAGTATGGGAGAGCAAGGGCTACGCGAAAATATGCATGGGAGAGCAAGGGGTAGGCAAAGACAAATGTAGAAGCGAAGGGGTATGCATATGATATTGGAACTGTCGTAGGTGAAACTCTCATAAGTAAAGAAACATATAGGAGAGAGCAAGGGATACTCATATTGAAACTCTCATAGGTGAAAAAACATGTATAAGAGAGCAGAGGGTAATTATATTGAAATATTCAAACTCTCATGGGTGAGGAAATATATATGAAAAAGCATCTCAAGTTCTCATTTTGGAACCCACATAGGTGGGGAAACATATATGAGAGTGCACCCAGATAGCACACACTCGCCTAAGGTCATCCTCAATGTGTCGCCAAACGCCTGGAGAGGACGTTCTATTTTCTACAACCTAAGAACATCATCAGGCGTGAATTTAGCGCTGTAATTGTCCTAAATGAGTTCTTTCAGTGACAGCCTGAGGATGTAAAGAATTTCGTGCCTACTGACGTCTTCAGATGACATTCCATGAAATAACGTGTCATCGAAGACAAAAGGAAGAAAAAGAAGAACTAGAATTGAGGTTATGTCTCATGATAGTCATGATTTGTTCAAGATACATCATAATATATTAATGATTATATCAAAATTATTAGAGTATTCATTGAATAATTTCATCAAATTTCTATTTCACAAAATGATTGCGAGAAGAACTTAATGCTCAGAATTGAAAGATAACAATAACAAAAGGATGATAATCTCTGTTGATGACATTTCTCTCAGGTAGCAAGAAACAATGGTGAGTAAATACTAAATAGAATCATTGATAGTACCAGACATGAAATATTGATACATTCATATACATTATTTATTGTTTCAGGAGGTTATTGAGAACACAAACTTGATGATATCATCATAGCAAACATGTTTAATTTCAAGATAGCTTTGCTTCTTCGGAATCTATAAAATATTGTATGGAAGCTTGAACTTTCAGTATGAATTCAATGAAGGTAGGTACCTGAATCGAATCATTGATATAGTAGGTACTGGACATGAAATGTTAATAGGTTAATTATTTGTTTCAGATGAAGTTATTGAGAACACAGGATTGATGATGTCATCAGAGCAGAGATGTTTCATTTCAAGATATTTTGGCTTCTTCGAAATCTATGTGAGATTGCCTATGCATGTTTGCACTTTCAGTATATTCAATAAAGGTAGGTACCTAAATCAAATCATTGATATAGTAGGGACTGAAACATGAAATATTAATAGGTACATTATTTATTGCAGGAGGTTATTGATAACACAAAATGATGATATCATCAGAGCAGAGATATTTTATTCCAAGATATTTTGGCTTCTTCGGAAATTATGAAAGATTGTACATATGCAGACTTGAACTTTCAGTAGATTCAATAATGGTTGGTACCTATAACTACATAAATCATATCATTGATAGTAAGTACTGGACATGAAATATTAATATATACATTGTTTGTTTCAGAAGGTTATGCAAAACACAAACCTGATGATATTTTCATTCCAAGATAGTTTTGCTTCTTCAGAATCTATAGGTAAAATATTGCATGAAGGCTTCAACTTTCAGTTGATTATTCTGCATCAGGAATGTCCAGAGTTCAGAAATCAAAAACAACATGGAGAAATATAACTATCAATAGGCAATAACTTCTAGTAGTGCTCAACAAGAAGCTGAAATACATTTCTTTGAAAAGGAAATTGAAATTTCTCAGAATAAGTTATAAATAATAGAATGAAAGTTTTTCATTTGGTTTTTCATTTGAACCTATTATGAATATAGAGGGAAATTTTGCAAATATCATGAGATCCATATTATTCTGAAGAAATTATCATTTGCATAATACAAGGTGAGTCAATGGTGTGTTATCCTTGTATATTAGCCAAACCATCAGATAAATAGAGAAAATTCAAGCACAACAGTAATAGGGTTTCATGAGAACTTTCACATTAAATTGTTCTCATATATATCTGTAGGGTCTCGAATTCCAAGATATATTGACTGATGATTGTTTTTTTCCAAATGGGACACCCTGTATACTATTGCATTTTTAGGTTCTTCCTGAAGAGCTGATTCCATCAATGTATCACACTTGGGGTCTAACGGGAATGATTACAGAGATATAGGGTGTTCAAAAACAAGATTTTTTAATTTTATGATTTTTTTTGTGGAAACTATTCAATATTGGTCAAAACGGCTCACATATCCTTATGAACTTTCGATTTACTATCTACTGACATTCAATCGGAACAAATAGAGGGTGGGTTAACATTCAGAATACTGATCAGCTTATTGTATCTGTTCCAAATAAATATCAGTAGATAGCTAATCAAAAGTTATGACAGGAACATGTGAGCCGTTTTGACCATTAATGAATAGTTTCGACACAAAAAATCCTACATTTGGAAAATCTTAATTGTCAACACACTATATTTCTGTAATAATTCCCACTAGGCACCAAGTGTGATGCATTGATGGAATCTACTCTTCAGGGAAAACTCAAAAATGCAATAACATACAAGGTGTTTCATTGAAAAAAACCAATCATCAACCGATATTTTGGAATTCGAACACCCTATAGATATGAAAACAACTTTAGGTGATTGTTCTTATGAAACCCTATTACTGTTCTACTTGAATTTTCATTTTATATATCTGACGGTTTTGCTAATATCGGAGGAGAACACACTATAGTGACTCATTTTGTATATGAATAATATTCTCCCATAAATCTTGAACCTCCTTGAAACATCATCAAAAACCGCCTCAAGTTGTTACCATGATGTCCTGAGGTTGTCTCAAAAGATTTTATAGGGATATTCTGAGACGTTATTAGTATGTAGAGAATGGTAACAGGAGGACGTCTTGAGAATGTCCTCAAGCTCGCTCTCGACGTCCTGAGGACATGATTGTGAACGCCTCGGAAGGGCCTCAAAAGGAATTTGTGCTATATATAAGTACTCCTTGCAAGGAGTACTTATATAAAAATATTGGAACTTCAATAGGTATGGGAGAGCAAAGTGTACTCATTTTGTATGTTCAAAATTTTAGCACTCTCATAGGTAACAGAAACTATCGGAATACAAAAAAAATTTTTCGAGAAGTAGTTTTGACCTTTTCATAGTTCAGTTTACCTGATGTGTGGGTCTACTCACCTCATCTGTAACCAAGAATTGCACCATCAATGGAGCAATAATAGAGAATATATTTGATGATCCATTTCCTATTCCCATTATGATTCCAGAGAATTTGGGCGATAAATCAACAGGATTGATTTGGAATCCTACAAAAACTGCTGCGTTGACTCCTACTGCAATAACCAGCATCATCACTGATAGCGCAATCCAATCTTCTGGGAGGAAACCTAGTATGACAAGTGCCATTGATGGAACGACAGTTCCTAAAAAACAAAATGAATGATTAAACAACATTTGGGAATTGGGGTAACTAGCACACCTTTCAACTCAGTGATAAGTGGATAATCCTTCGATTACTACAACAACAACAACAACAATTTATATTATCATTGTGGAATGAGTACATCTTATTATATAAGTTGATACAATCATTTCCATCATTCAATCTTGGTGCTGAGACAGTAATGTGTACAGTTCGAATCAATGATTCTATCAGAGTTCTTTTCTCAATCGCCAAACTATTTTATAAGCATCAGTGGGAACAAAACATATTATATTTTTGATAATGTCTACTTCTTCGTTTTGATTGAATACTTGATCACACGAATTTGATTTTCATTATATAGAATATCAACTCGGGAAATTGCTGAAATCAAAATCAGCGATTTTTAGTGATTTCAAAATATTTTAGGAACAGCTGAATTTTTTACAGTTTGCAGAACAGTGTATTGAAGAGGTTCAAATTACGCAACTTCCTTCTGATTCAATCAACTTCTTTTTTTTCACCGTTCAACAGATAACAATTCTATCCCTATTGAATCGTCTCGACCCTGTATAAAGAAAATCCCATCCTTGCGCTGAGTAATGATCATATTATTTGATTATTCACCTTCAATTCGAATAACTATTGTTGGAACGTCGAGATGAATGAATTTGTTGACATTTAATTTGGCTTATATGAATATCTTCGATTGTCTTCTTGTAATTTGCTTCAAAAACTGAGTGGCGCTCTGAAGAATGATGAACACCACTAGTTGATGAAAAAACTTACTCATGCCCTGCTTCGAAACAAACGAGCTGCCGAATCCATAAAGAAATTGAATGAGAATATCTTTCTTTTTTTTTCCAAAACATTAGGAGAATTTTCATGAGTTGTTATATCAGAACATCATACCAACATCTTGAATCAATATTTTCCTCCGACACAGGTGCATGTGGAAGCCGATGAGATGATGAATTAAGATCATTCTATAATCTCTACGAGGAGGTCATGATACATTGTTTCAACACAAACTCTTCAACTCTTACATTGGGCAGTATAAATATCAAGCTTCAAGCAAACAAACACGAATTCCTTATCAAATTTCACATCGTGAAACGAAAGACGAACATTTCATATGTTCGTATCATCCAATAACGAGAAATATTTTACAAAGCTCCCCACTCATTTGTAATGGCCATTAGGGATTTATGATGCTGAAGATGCTCAATTTGACATGAACGTATCAACACCGCTATGAGACGAAATCATGATGTTCACATGCTGATGGAAATTCAAGTCTAAATGATATCAGATGCTATATCTAGATATATGCAGCCTTAAGAATTGATGAAGGAAAGTTGGATCCAAATATTGAAGAATTCGATGAATTTTCGAGATTCACATTGAATGCATTGAATGCAATACGGTACACACGATCGATTACAAATCAAGTGAACTCACTTGATCAACTGATGAATGGATGAAAATTGGAATATCATTTTCCTATACAATCTATACATCTCTTATTTCGATAGATCATGATAACTTGATTCACAAACATTTATATTTCTCAGAACTGTCAATGATTCATAACAAGAAAAATTGTGATGTTTGCGATCCAATCACCGTTAGTTCAAGATAAAATTTTCAATATATATATATAAATATATATATAATTCGATTTCATTGTCTTTCGCATCTAATGGTGCTTCTCTATTGCCCTACCTGTTATCGAGTACTAACCAAACATAGTATGGAAGAGTGAAGGATCTATCAGGTTGTTGAATTCTTCTTGAACGTGAATATATTTGTCACCATTCGATTATCCATCTGATTACTGGAGTAAGTGATCATTGAGTAGTAATCAATTGCTTTACGGTTTAACGAAATCTATCACTCCTTAGAGACATAACAAACCAGTTACCAAACTTCACCAACTTCATTCTAGTATTTGATATCAACCAAGATGACTGTTGTTTGCGAGAGCAACATAACATCAAGCGAAATGGAACCATTCAAGTTGAATGATATTGTTGGAAAAAACATACAGTATTTTGTCTCTATGTGCATTTCCAATCTTCATGTAGATATTATTTATTATGTAGAAATGTCATGTCAGATTAAAATGGAGAAGTCATTGAACGTTTACAAAAGGTTCCCTTCGTTATACGTTTTCCATCTCAAACACGAAATTTGAGGCGACCATGATAGGACATATCGACGATGGAAACCCTTAAGAAAAAAAAAGGAGCAGCTGCGGTGATTTTTCAAGAAAACGAATATCAAACTCTTATTTGTTCATCTATTGAGAATAATCTGTCAGTCTTATATTTCAACTGACCCAGTAGAACCAGCACGTGTTATCTGCTCACTAATTCGTCTGTAAGTGCAAGTTCTACTGGGTCAGTTGGACGATAAGACTGACAGATTATTATCAAGAGATGAACAAATATAAGAGATTTGTTTTCGTCAAATCCAGGTGAGGCAGAACTAGAGCAGGAATTTGACCAAGTCGAATTCTTCAGAGGAGAAATCATCAAACACAGGTCCAAATCCAAGATATTGATAGAAGAGCAGTCCGAACAAGATGACCAAGCGACGTATGTAATCAGCAGTGTCGACAAGAACAGAAAGAGATTTAGACTTTCCAAATTGGAGTTGAAGAAATTCGATGGAAACGTTGAGAATTGGATAAGATTCTGGGATCAGTTCGAGAAAATTCACGACGATGATGATATTGAATTGGCAGATGAGTTTCAATATCTGCTGCAAGCAACCGAAGAAGAAACTGTGGCAAGTGATTTGATCGAGAGCTTTCCTCCTGATGCTCTCAGATATCATTCAGCAAAAAGCCATTCGCCTGGTGGGTGACGCCACACTCACTCACTCCTTGACATCATTGGAACACCGTAGGAAGGTCGGCGACCTTTCACTTTGTTATCGATACTTCCACGGAAAATATTCTTCGGAAATCTCTGCTATCATCCCTTCACTAGCAATACCAATTAAATGAACTACACGAGCCCAGTCAGCACATCCTTTCGTTGTCAACCTCGAAAGATGTCGAACAGCACTTTATCAAGAATCCTTCATCCAACTATCCAAAAGTTCAAAAAAAATTCAAATACCTACCTCCTGCCCCTATCCTTCCTAGGAACGCACGATGTTCTTTGAACAATATAGGGATTCCCTTTCGTGCGCTCCAAGCGATAAAAAAAACTATTCTGAAGCCATTGACCAGATAGAAGCATATTTAGCTAGGGACGAATCCTTGACTGAGGTCTATGTAAGAAAGTTATTGGATCCCGTTCTCAAGCAAGCTACCAAGAATGAAACGAGTATAACCCTAGCTAGTTCATATGACAGAATGAAAACTCAGTTGGGAGCCTTGGAAACGCTGGGAATAACTAGTGATAAGTATGCTGCAATGCTATTTTTGCTAGTTGAATCAGCCTTACCAATCAATCTAAGAATTTGGGAGAGGTATCGCAGTACAAACTCTATCGATATAAGCAAATCAGACTTACAAGATGAGACAAATGGAGGTGATAAAATTTTGACGAAGTTATTAGATTTCCTAAGAAGAGAAGTGGAATCTGAGGAGCGAATCAACCTTGCATATTCTAGTTTTTCAACAGACAAAAACCAGGCAAGATTCAACATCATAGGAAGAGGAGATACAGCAAGAAGCGGAAATATATACTGCGTCATCACTTTATTCATTTTGCATATTCTGTGAGGAGTTTCATGCTGACACAGATTGTTCGAAAGCCCAGAACTCAACAATGAAAGAAAGTAAGACGATAGTAGTGAAGAAACGAGCTCATTCCTCATGTTCAAAAACAGATCACGCAAGCCGAAACTGTAGAGCTTTCCTCAGATGCTTGATTTGTAGAAAGAAACATTTTCCCATTATGTGTTTTGACCTTCCCGACGAAAAAAAATTCACTATAATACATTAAGGAAATTGCAGTACAAAAATTGACAACATCTTGACAAATAATCTAGATGCCGACACGTTATTGCAAACTATTCTGGTTAGGCTCGTGAACAATAATATCAAACAAAAATCAGTTCGAGCTTTATTGGACGTCAAAGAATCATACGTTTTGTCAGGATGCGTCAAAGAATTAGAAAATGTCGAAACTGGCGGGCAAACTGTTAGACATGGTGTCTTTGGAGGTATACGTTAGCACCACAAGTTTACGGAATTTATGATGTTTACGTCCAAAACCTAAATGGGAATTTCAGAATCAAGTTATCAGTGATTGAGCAAGGAAAAATTTGAAATAACATTACAAGATAACAAGATTTATTGTAAATCGATCATCTGAAACGAAAAAACATAATTTCTAATGAAACTAACGTGTAAAATGCACCACATAATATCGAGTTGTCGTTGAATGCTGATGTTTTTGGGAGACTACTGACAGAAAATATTGAATATTTAGATGATGAGCTCATTGCAATTGTAACTTGATTCGGTTGGACTGTGATGTGACGCTATAATGAGAAAAAAAAATCGAATCACATTTTCGGTTGAAACTAACTGTTCTTCATCAGACTTATGGAATCCTCAAATTCTAGGAATGACAGATCCAGCTGGAATGAAAACTAGGGAGCTCATAGAAGAAGAAGTAAACGATCATTTCAATGAAACTGTTAGGATCAACGAAGATGAGAGGTATGAGATACAACTGCCATGGATTGGGGGTCATTCGAAACTATTGAACAATGAGTATCCAGAAAAAAAAACGTCTGCAGTCTACTATCAAGAAACTACAAGCAATGAACAAATTTGAAGTTTTTGGTTGATTGAAAAAAGCTTGGTATCATATAGCAGGTTAGCGAAGAAAGCACGGGTTAGGGATCTTCACATTATTCATGCCACCATGCTGTCATCAAATAATCTAGTGAAACAACTATAGTAAGACCAATTGTTGATGTTTCGGCAAAGGATCAGGACGGTAGTACTTCGAACAATTTTCCGCAAACAGGACC